CCCGGGAAGTGACCCAGCACTGGGGGTGAGGTGACCGAAGGGAGAAAAATGTCTTACCCGAGATCCAGCCAGCCACAAACTCCTCCACAGGCATTGTTCTGCCGGTGGGAGCCAGAGGCTCCAGCGGAGGCGGAGGCGGCGTTGGTGAAAGTGTGATTCTAGCCTCTCCCTCCGCCCCTGGACTGCTAATCTCCCTGTAATGTTTAACCTGGGTGGAGGGGGCAATGGCCCGGTGCCCAGAGCTCGGGCGCAGGAGATGGAAGCGAGTCAGCTTGGTGGCCCCGGTGCACTGCAGGAAGTGTGCAGTGGGAAATCGTATGGGGCAGGGTTGACGACCAGTGATGGCCTTGCAGCGTGACCAGGCCTGGCAGCCAGGCCGAGGTCCCTGGTCCGGAGCCTCCAGGCTGCCTTAGTCAGCATGGGCTCAATGAGCCTTCTCAGGGCCAAGGCCTGTCCAAGTGAGCCACATTTCCCTTTCCTCATCCCCACAGCACCGCACACTAGACTGCCCACCCCTCCTGGACAGCCCCTGGAGGCTGGTGAGATGGAGCATGGCCACCAGGGGGCAGGCCCAGCCCGCGATGCCCTGGCTTTGGGGAACCCCTGGAACCACCCAGCGGGAACCACTCACCGGGTTTCTTCAAGACCCGCCTCCTCCAGGGTTGTTTACGACTCGACTCCGCGTGTGAGTCAAACGCAGCCTCCCTCCACCTCCTCTTCTCGGAGCCTCTTTCCCAGGGGAAAGATGGGGATTTTGAGCCGATGAAGGTTAGTGTACGTCTCTGCTTGGGGGTGACCAGGCTATGCCTGCTCATTTCTCTTTGGACAGCTACAATCCCACTGACAGAGCAGCGACCCGCATCCCTCTCCCTGGAGGATGGGGTGAAGGGAGGACGAAAAGAGTGGACTCTTCTTTCCAGGGCAAGAGACCCAGTACTCAGGAGCCACTGCCCATAAAATCTGTGGAGGCCTCAAACGCGGGCCCCAACCCTCAGAGGCGTCCGACCCCTTCCTTTCCCTCGCGCCTCACCCCAATTCCATGAGGAAATTGCGTTACTGTTACCTTCGAAACAGATCCCGAATCCAAACCCCTCGCTTCCTCCACTGCTCCCTCCCTGGCCCGAGGCCACCATCACTGCCACTTGGATGCCTGCCCCTGACTGGCCCCGGGCTCCCTCCGCGCCCCTTTCCAGTCTGTTCTCACAGCAGCCAGAGCGATGCAGTTAACATCTGTCAGACCATGTCCCCCTTCTCCACACCCTGCAAAGGCCCAGTGCTGCTCAGAGCCCAAACCACAGCCCTTCCCAGGCTCTAGGAGCCTCGCGGTGCCCCATACTCCTCTGACCGCCCCCTCGCTCGCTCTGCTCCAGCTGCCCTGGCCTCTTCTCTTCTTCAGACGGGCTCCTGCCTCCAGGCCTTCGCCCTGGCTGTTCCGTCCTCCTCTAGCTTGGACCATACGGTGAGCCCACCCTGATCGTCTCATTGACTGCTGCCATCTGCCTCACCTGCCTTG